GGGCGGCCGGGAGGGTGTGGGGGGATCCTGTGCTGGTGGCGGACGGTTCTGCCAAAGAAGCGTGTGTCTGCGTGGCAGTGCCGTTACTCAGCAGCGAGCTGCCGTCCTGCCCCGCAGCCCCAGCTCCGCGCCTCGTTGCCCTCCTCACCCCACGCGCGGGTTTTGCCTTCCCTCAGGGACGTGGCTGCTGTACCTGCCGTGCACCTGGAGCATCGCCTTGGCGGCCGAGCCGGGCTGCCTCCCGGACTGGCACATGCTGTCCCTGTTCGGCATCGGAGCGGTGCTTATGCGCGGGGCCGGCTGCACGATCAATGACATGTGGGATCGTGACTATGACAAAAAGGTAGAGAAACCCCCGTGGGCTTGCCAAGACGTGGGTTGCTGCTGAATTAACCAAGTACATGCCCACTTATGTCCAACAGCAGCGGCGATTGCTCCAGGTTCAGAAATTCCTCCGTGTTTCTATCTGAGCTGCATGCCATGAATTTGTCTATATTTCCTCCTAGCACGGGAGAAATCATTTCATTTTGTATAACACTTCTCTGTCTAGAACTGTCATAGGCCTTCTAGAGTACTTACCTCTGTGTAAGATAAAATAAGTGGTGTTGTCAGCTGGAGGTAGTACTTGAACAAGTTTATATTTCAGCTTTGTTTCGCATGACAGAACAAAATAACCCTTTTTTTGCTGCACTTGCTAGTTACAGTCTAACCAAGAACCATTTTAGTTTCTTTTTCTAATTTTCAGGAGCAGGGTTTCCTTAAGTATTGTTAATTTCTTCATGAGAATGGCTGTGAAAAGTATCGTGCCCAACCCTGAGCTAATCCTCTTCTATTATGTTGCATCTGTCATCTCCCTTTTGTTCAGAAGAGGGAAGGGTCAGATGTTGAAATGTGCACAGGTGCAGGCTTGGAGGAAAGTATCCTGGTGATGCATCACTGTTTGCTTGTCCTGTTTTCTGTTTCTGTACTGTTCCCCTGGTTTGGGGTTTTGACGCTGGCAAGAGACAGGATAATGAGCCAGTCTGATACATGAAGTTCTTCTTACAGCACTGTTGTTCTCTTGGGAAGGCAACAAATCAGTACAGGCTTTGTGGCAGCTTTGGATAGTTTAGGGTTCAGAGGTAATTAACAACTACATATACTAAAAGCGTTTGACAGGGTCATCTGTGTGATTAGTAAGATGGAATTTTCAGTATAATGAATTCATTTATACATTAATGTGATGAGGTTAGATGTAAAATTTTAAAATTTTCCATTGCAGCTCTTTCTTACATACCTTAAAACAATATCTTCAAAGCAAGTGTGGCAGAGGCTGAGTCAATAGCGGGATGTTGGCTTGTGTTGGTGATTGTGGTTTGAAGCTTTAAATTTTATGTTACTGACTGGTAAATCTTTTCTTTCCCTTTCTTTAAATGAAAGGTCCCATATTTGGTTACAGTGAGCAGTGGAATTAGTCATATTATATGCATGTTTAAACTGCAAAAGCAGTATTTGCCATTAAACATAACCTGATGGGGGGGGGGGGGGCAAACTAAAAGAGTTCATATAAGTTCACGTTATTAAAGCATATGTATAACACTTTATACATACATAGTATTCTGTAAAATGTTTTAACCTCTTCAAGTAGATTTTACACCATTTTCATCCACATGCAAAACTTTTGTCTTTTTTTCTTTTTGCAAGCATCACCTTTGGCAAGTAAATCACCATATATAACAGTTTAACTTTTTTTCTGATACTTGTTTTTTCCTTCAGTTTGACATGTATGATTTCTTGTTCCATAGTTTCTAAAATCCATTGCATCCCAACTAGGATTAAAATAATTGTACTTTCACGGATTGTTAACAATGGTTATGCGTAATATACATGTGTAATAGCAGTAGTTACTAACAATGCTAGAGGAGCCCTGCATCTTTATGATATTTTACATTCACTTTAAAGTGTTAAAGCACAGAAGTGCTGCTCGAAATTCAGATAGTTAGCTCACAACTTTTTAAGTATGATTTTTTTTTTCTAAGGTAATAAAATGCATATACAAGATGTCTACAGTGTTTCTAAGCAGCCTCACTGGAAACAAGTGGCACTTTATTTCTGCTGTAGTTTTTAAAGCCTGCATACTTCTGTTTTAAGCGCTGCTGCTTAGAAAGACAGCTCATTTCCATGATGATATGCTAGGTTTGTATTGTTGAAGGAACCCAACTCATACGTTCTGTGACCTGTTTCTGTTTATTTTTCCGCTTATGTGCCAATGATGTGACCTATAGTTTTAATGCACATTGGAATACGTTATATTGGATTTAGTATTAATGTTATTCTTTCAATTTTTAGGTGGTGAGGACAGCAAGTAGGCCCCTGGCAGCTGGGGAGATCTCCACTTTTCAGTCCTTCGTTTTTCTTGGGGGACAGCTTAGCTTGGCGCTTTGTGTGCTTCTGTGTCTGAATTATTATAGGTGATGTATAACTTGTGTTTTGTTTTTTTAAATTTGATTCCAGGCCCAGAGTTAAGCTCAGAGATTTTCGGCAGAAAAGGTATTGGGGGTGGAGGGAAGAGGTTATTAGTCATGGAATTGTATTTGAAAGTAAAAGAATGAGTTCAGTATTATGTGCAGCTCCTGTAATGCTGCACTATTATGTTATGATCTTTAGACTGGCAAACAGTAAACCTCTTTGTTCTTTCATTCAGTATCATTCTGGGAGCAGCCTCTTTGTCTCTTGTGATCACCTACCCTCTGATGAAGAGAATAACATATTGGCCACAGTTAGTTTTGGGTGAGCTGGAAATATTTTTACTATTTTTTTCTTCAGATGTAGTCTTTAGGGTATTTTACAAATCAGTAATTGATCTTCAGCAATCTGATTTCTTGTAACTATATTAAAATAAAAATACCTTATAGACAAAGTTCTGTTGTGCCACAAGCTTCTTAATTTATAACACATATAAGAGTTGATGTTCGGGGTTTTTTTTTTTTTTTTTTAAAAATCAGTTCCTTATTTTGATGGAGTGAGGGGAGGGAGAAAATAAATATTTGTCATTTGGGAGTCAGCTTTAGTTTTGGGGTAATCTTGAAACCTTTCTGAAAAATGCATTTGTTCTGCATTTCAGTCTTCAGCCTTTATATAAATAACTCCTATGCAGAAAATGATGGTGCTTGTATTCTAGGTTGAGCTACTGAAATGTATCTTTGTATCTTGGCCTTCACATTCCAGCTGCCTTCATTTTTTTCAAATAAATTGTAATTTTCAGCTTTTAAGTATCATAGTTGGCTGTGGTGCAGTTTTGCAGTCATACCAACATCCTCTGTTATACTGGCATCTAAGACTGTTAACTTTAGACACGTTGCTTGAATACACTGGAATAGTTCTATGCAGATTTAAATGGGGGAAAATGCATGGCTATACATATTTCTCCTTTAATTAACCCCTTTCTAGGGTATTTAATGTCAAATTACTTTTATTTATTACCTGCCTGAAAATAAGTGGTAGAAAAATAGAGATGCCAGTATTGTACAAAAAGCTGCTGCTATGATATACGCTTGAACAAATAATATTTAATGCTATACATGTAATTTAGATTGCTCCTGGCAATCTTACAGCTTTTTTCTCTTTTTTTACTCCTTTTGTATTTTTAGGACTTACATTTAATTGGGGAGCCCTTCTTGGCTGGTCTGCCATCAGAGGGTCATGTGAGTGGTCTGTGTGTTTGCCCTTGTACTTTGCTGGAGTAATGTGGACACTGGTATACGATACCATTTACGCACATCAGGTGGAGTAACAGTGGGAAATTTTAGATATCTGTGTATGTTTGTGTGTTTAATTTACAACTTTTGTTGTCAAACAGCAGTACTAACCTGTTGCAGTTCTTAGCTCTCAGCTGAGCTAAAACAGCACCAAAGAAACCCCAGCCCTTGCACCTTTTATTGTTATTGAAAATGGTTTACATATTGAGTAGAAATCTGGAAGTATAATGCACTTCGTGTGCTGATGCATTTGCATTGGTATTAGCTCTTGGCTGCTAAAGCAGGTCTAAGGACCAACCTTCTGATTTAAATTTTAATGTAGGGACTTACAAATGCACTTAAGTTCCTCATAAGAAGCGCTGGAAACTTAAGCAGGGCCCCCTTCTTATTTTCCTTATGAAGTGACAGTTGGATTGTGGATTTTTTTGCTAATTCATCCTTTCATCCTAGGATAAGAGGGATGATGTCATTATCGGTGTGAAGTCAACAGCGTTACAGTTCAAGGAGGATACGAAGCAGTGGCTCAGTGGCTTCAGCCTTGCAATGCTTCTGAGTTTGTGCATGGCAGGAATGAATTGTAACCAGATGTTCCCGTATTACTCAGCTGTGGCTGCCGTAGGGGCTCACCTAGCGCACCAGGTTTGATGGATTTATTTATACTTCTTCCATGTGGAAGTTCTTGATAAGAAATCAGGGTGCTTTTCAATCCCCATCAATTCGCCACCTACCTAAAAAAAAAAGCAATTCCTTGTAAAAGAAACCTGAAGTCTTCAGAGAGTGATCTTGCTTAAGTACCTTTTGCAGACTGTTTGAAGAGACAGACCTTCAGTGGTCCACACACTGCGAAACACTCGTTTTCAGTCTGTTCCGAACCAACAGAACAATATGAAAATGAATGTTGTATGTTCTGTCTCAGTGATGGTTAATTTTACATTTAAACAATTCTGTACTGTGGTTGGAGGGTTCAGTCTGGGATCTAACAATGTAAGAAAATTTTTTGTGGCTTGTTCACTACTGCTTGTAGGTTTACCATAAGTTTAGTTGGAAAAGAACCCTCTAAGCCTTGGTTTGAAGTTTCAAAAGGCAGGCGTTCTTTATTACAGCACCAGATGCACGGGAGATAGTGCATGCCGCAGGTTGCAACGCGCAGAATTTATATTGCAGAACAATTTATATATGCATTAGATTTCCTGGAATAGTTACACATAGTCATTCTGTTTCCTGGAACAAATTGTAAAATTTGCATCCTAATTACCCATGTCTGCTTTTAGTCTCTGAGGGTCTCTCCTGGGTGTGTCCTTTAGTTGTACTGTCCTCTGGAGCATGCACAGTGTGGGTTAACCTACACACTTTTGTTTTTCTTCTATATGGTTGGCTGGTTTTGGCAGGTTCTGACTGCAAAACTCCAGATTCTCTCAGCTCTGTGTCTCCGTGTTCTGAAGGTTCCATACATGTTAAGCAAACATGGACCAATCATATCAGGGTGACCTTAAAAGATGTAACAGAACATTTCTTTCTACTTGTTGCTCAAGGCAGCATCAGCAGATGTTAATGTTATAATTTTATGGTCATCGACAGTTCTAATTCACAGCTCTTTTTATAGCAGAGAGCAATCCAGTCTTGTATTAGTTTAGAAATTTTAATGAATAACAAATAAATTGTCTTTGTCAGTAAAGGAAGCAGATAGGATCTTATCCTGTTCTTTCTGAATCCCAACAACTGTGTTGCCTAGCCTTGTAGTGACAAGTCAGTCTCTATGAAAATTAATTGCTGGCCTTGATAGGTGAGTGATAGCAAAGGGGTTTGTGCATTGCACGTAGTAAAAGTGTTGACAGTCTGAGATGTTAAGTCTGTGGTTATCATTAAACTTTTTGAAGCAGGTTAGACTTACATTGCACTTTAATGGGAGTAGCTCATGCAGGTGATGGGTATTAAACATACCTCTGAGTAAGAAAATTCTTGGGATGATGTAGTCTGGTGCTTGTCAGCCACTGCTTTTCACGGCAATTGTGCTTGGACATCTGTGAGGGAAGGAAAACTATATTCTGCTGCATAATCATTTACAGTTTGAATTGTCAGAGAGGCCTTACACTGTAGTTTTGGCAGAAATGGAAATTACTTTCCTACAGGGAGGATTTTATAAGTGAGAATGCATACGTATTGAATGTAAGTGAAGAGTGAACAATTGTGTAGATTGCCAAAATCATAAGTGCGGCATTTTTCTGTGTACCACAGAGTAGCTTCTTTTTGAGTGATTATTTTAATATTAGTTCTGCTTAAACAGCCTCATGCTTCTCGTTCAAGATTTCTGAACATGTGCTTAATGGAGTTTAGAAAGCTGAGTAAGCTTCATGAGGAGTAGGTTTTCCTTAAATTCACTGAATTTGTCCCTGAGACAGAGGAATTTGTGTCCTGAAGATATCAAATTTCTATCCCACGGAAGAAGTTCACCCATAGAAAAATAACATATTTTATTTGCTTTGCATTTCTGAAGGTATATCTCGTGGCTCAGTTGCTGTTAGGTTTTGGTTGTCAGTTCAGTGTTTTCGTTCCTGGTGCTTGAGGAACTGACAGATTTTCAAGGGTGTGTCTAACATTGAGTCTTAGAAGCTTAGGGACAATGTCAGATTATTTGATCAGAACCCAGCCCTTTCACCTCAGTACCACTGCAAATGGCAGAGAAACAGGTTTCCCAGGGAACGTTTCACTTCTTTTAGTCAGCTGCATTCTGTTTTGACTTCTTCAGAGACTGAATTGCAAGGTTTCACATTTTGGGAGGTACATTTTTATTCACCCTTTCACTTGTTTTGCTAACATTTCCTCTTGTCATCCTTCTCAGGACTTGTTTTGTTTCCAAGGAATGTTTTTCAGTAACTTTGCTCTTGCTGCACTGTGTGGGGTTTTTTTCCACCTTTAGTTGTGACTCACAGCAGACAGCTGCCAAGCTGGGGAAGCCTTGCTTCTCGCTGTTGTTGCAGGTGTACTGGTTCTTTTTTGCAAGAGAGGTCAATGGACATGGCTAAGAGCAACTGGACTAAACCAGCCCTGTGTGACTTAGGCAGGGCTGGGCACTTTCCTGTGCATTCCAGTTAGCCTGGTTCACTGCTGGCTTTGCAGTGCTTTCTCTCTACTGAAACAGGGAGCAACACCTTGCAGCAGAGATTTGAAGGTTTCTTTATTTTTATTTAAAATTCCCACTTAAGAATTAGATGGCTAACTACTGAGGAAAATCTTAAAAAGCTTTATTTACATGGCCAGATGTTTTTACATTTTAAAATATCAAACCAGACACACCAGTATCCAGGCTGTTTATATGGTCCTTCGTTGAGAGGGTCTGGGAATTGTATTCATATGTGATCCGTGACTTTTTTGCTGTATGTTGAACAAATCTGTCAAGTAAATCTAGGTGCCAGTTATGGAAAAAATTTGTTGTAAGCACAGAGTATTCCTGTTTATTGTGGACATAAGGGTAGACTTCTGAATTTGAGATTCATTTTTTGAAGTTACAGACCTTTTGGTGTCTGTGGTGTGTCAAATATATGTGTCTGTGGAATAATAATACTAGAATGTTATACTGTGCTTTTGCAGATTTATACTTTGGACATAGACAAACCTGAAGACTGTTGGAAGAAATTTGCTTCAAATCGTACTGTAGGAGTTCTGCTGTTCACAGGGATTGTGCTTGGAAATCTGTGGAAACAAAAAGACCCTAAAAATATAGAAGAGCCTTTAGAAAACAAGTAGTTGAAAATACTATAAATACTGATATTTTAGTCCAGCTAAAATTAAGTTCTGTAAGAAGGAAAGCACTTTTAACATAACTATAGCTGCTTTACACTGTTTATTTATAAAATCTTGTGAAAACATTCTTGTTTCTAAAAACATGCAAATGAGATTATCCTACAATTTTTTGTAAATTTATCAAAATTTTTTGATTAAAAAAAAGTTTTTATTATCCTTAAGTGACTTCAACCTCCATAGAGTCTTCAAGTGAGTCTGCTCTGCTGCTTCTGTGCAGTACAAGTGAACTTCTGTCAAGCTCTCAAGACTGTGAGCCCAAGATTTTATACAAAACAGACGTCTCTTAGTGACAGCACGTGGAAAAATGCGAAGTGATTTTAGGTGGTGAATAAAATGTGGCTGTACATGTTTGGTGTTCTGATTTATTACATGAATAATTTTCAGTTTGTGTTGGAGCTTGTTGCGTTGAAGAATTGCAGTAACAATTTTTATCCTGAGATGTCTAGCAGCAGTCAGGACTCTGTGAGTGTGTGAGGTCCAGAATAAGAAGTTAACAGAGAAGTACTTAAAAGTGGTTCCTTTTCATGTGAAAAGAACAAAGTTGCCTGCACAGAGGGACCGGAACTTGTTTATCAAGAATGATTTGAACACACACTATGGACTTAAAAACAGCAGCCCAGAGCTATCGCCAAGTGTGTGTGACTGGTGTTGACCCTGAGCTATGAATTCATCATGCAAAGTGATCCTCATTTTTATTTTTTAATTCTGTTTTCACTTATGCCTACTGGTTTTATTTGTAGTCTTAAAGGAAGAATTTGTTTATAGGAGGATGCCTGTAAACACAAATAACAACTGCAGGCTAACAATTACATTGATACAAACAATTCATGTTTTCAAGTTGTTTTGGTGATTAAGGATACCAATTGAACTTGGACACCATAGTGAAAAGAATAGTTGTTTTTTACTGGGGATAACTAAATAATGTAACAGTAATACAGAAAACATACAGTAAGAAAAGACAGAACAGCGTGCTTAAACAAATAGGAAAATACAGGGTAATGCATCAAATCATTACTACCTGAGAGAGAGAATAGCAGTTAAGAAAGATCCATCACCACTTGCCTACTTTACCATCACCCAGCCCCGCAGTGGCTGGGCAGCCCCAGTTGCAGCGAGGGTTTGCAGAGCCTGTCCCGGCAAGTGGGAAATCCTACGCGGTGCCTCCACCCGTAGGTGAGGCTTCCAAAGTCCCTGTGAGCGGGCCCAGCCTTATGTACCCCAAAATCGGCAAGCCAGAATGGCTGGCACCTTTGTTTTGAATGGAAACATCTGGTTTCACTCTCATGTTAGATTCCCCAGAGCCTGGCAAGGGCTCAAGGGAGAAGCTAAGGGAGCTTCCCTGCTTATCTAACTGATTTTTGAGCAAGGTCATGCATCTGGTCCCAAGGCCAGACAGCTGGCTCCATGGCCCTGGTAACGTGCCCTCACACAAAGAAGGATAAAGATATCTTCAGGATAGATATGTTTTATGATATCTAAGATACATTTTTCATAATTGAGAATACAGATTTCACTAATAGATTTCACATACTAAGTTAGCAGCTTCAGCTCAGGGCCTGTTGTTCAGGCTTCAATACTTCAATGCTTTGGCACTTTTCACATCAGCAGAGGTGGTTTGTTATAACCTAGCACAATACCCACTAGCACAATGGTTATCAGTTATTAAATATACAGGATTCATCTATAGGGCAGCTCTGGATTTGGCCTGTTGTCCAAGCCTTTGCACTGCAGAGGTTACGCTTGCTCAGTTACATGATGTGCACAGTACTTAAGCTCTTCTTTGACTCACGATGTTAAAGAGCTGTAGGGCATGTTCTAGAATTAATTTCTGTGGAAGGAGCAATGGATGTGCCTATTCCAGGAGAATGATACAGTGGAATTTACCTCAGTTTACATACTGGTAGGCAGTGCAAGCACGCTTTTCCCCACAGGTGGCTTTGCATAAGCCTGCATGTGGTGCTGTTGCTTGGTGATGCAAAGCATTTGTTTGCCAAATTCATTATGGGATTCCAGTGACCTTCCCTGATGTCTGCTCTGTTCCTGAAGCGATGGGGTGCAACTGTGTGTGCAGTCACACCAAAAATAAGGCTGCCTCAAGACAGGTATTGTATTTCAAGGTTATTTAAACCGGTATGTCTGAGAGACATTGCAGTCCAGAGCCACACATTCAGGGTTTGCTAACTATAGAGTTGCATTACCAGTATGAGTAAATGGGCAAAGAAGTTCCTGTTGCTGGAAAATGAAAAAGCATATCATGAGTCAATGGCTTTTGTCACAGAACATCCTTTTTGGGGCTGGAACAGACTTCTGTGTGTTCTGAACATGTCTTTTTAACATACACCTTACAAAGTTTCTTTTACTATTTAAACAAGCAATGTCAATTATTGTTTTGAGCAAATAAGAAAAAGTAGATTTTTCAGCCTGACTGCACGTAAGATAGAAATACATGAAAAAATTAGGAAGTGTAACTGCTGTTAGGGCCTCCTTGGTCCTTAGGCAGAAATTGTTCTTTAATTGGGTTTACAATTTTGGGGTGGAGGAAGTATTAAGTCAAAGCAGAGCAGTTTAAAAATGAAGAATAAAAAGTTTCTCAACAATTATGTGACAAAGTTGCATTTTGTAGAGGGAGAATCCAACTTCCTGTGAACTTTGGTTATAAGGCATTTAATATAGTAATAAGTCTTGTGATGTAATAGTATGGATCAGTTTCTTTGTACCTGTAATATTAGCTTAGAGGGATTATGGCAAAAGTTACTCGTCTGTTCTTAACATATTAAAGTGTCTTTAGCTTAAATTTGGGAAGAGCTCACATTTTGCAGTGCCTCTGAACCTACTGGTGTCCTTTGTCTGAGGACACTTTGTCACAAAGAGTTTGCCTTGTAATGAGAGGAAAAAGAAGTTGTAGCTAAATAGAGTAAAAATTCAAGTTTCAAAACAGTACTCAGGTCCTAAACTTGAAAATCACTGCATGTTTTCCATGGAAGTTTTCTAAATTTATCTCAAAATGCATTTCAGAAAGATAAGCCGTAGCTGTATTTTAGGTTCATTGCCTGACAAATGAAGAAAGGTTTAGGTTTTAGGCTGTAATACTGGGAGTGATATTTGCATGAGCATTTTATGATTAATACACAGAAATAAGAAATAACTTTTTAAGTGCAAAAGAGACAAAGGCTGAGCTACTTCCTGGCTAAAGCCCTGTTTACATCTGCTGGCAGGTGTATGTCCATATCCTCTCTTTCCATTCCCAAGCTGTTCTACTCCAAATCTTCACAAAGAGGCTTTCTGCTGTATTTAGATAGTTTGTTAAAGAAAGTATCAAGTACACTTATCTCTAAGCAGCAGCTTCATTATTAGCTAGTGTGCTTTTGCACAAATAAACAGTGTCCTCTGGAAGTTTCTCCTCCCCTTCCTTTTCCCCAGAACCTTGAGATAAATGCTTGTGGAGGCAGCAGGAAGGTCAAAGGCAACATGAAATGCTGGCAGTTGTTCTGCGAAACAGGAACACAAACCGCTTGCCTTTGTGTGCCCCCATTGTGCTTTGCAGAAAGCTGTATCAAAGCAACACCTGCTCTTTGTCCAGGAGTAGCCATGAGTACATTGGGGTGCTAGTGCCTGTGGGGATACAGGGAGGGGTTGCCAAGGTGTTGGCAACCCTTCGTGGTGAGGCTGGGTTTTTGACTCAAAAGCCTGCTCGGGACAGCGGCACGTGGGAGCTTTCACATTCACCTTTGCCAAGGGGAAGGACTTGCTGTAGGGTCATCCATGGCGAATTGTATCCGTATTTTACTATTCGTGTATTTCTTGGTAAATACAGCATCGTTAATGCAAGGGGGTCAGATTCTTCCATCCCTCCTCCTAATTTCAGGAAAGGATGGCTGGAGGCACCTAGCTGAGGAACTGTGATGTGCAAACAGTGCAGGCTGGAAGACATAGGACAGCCAGCGTGGCTGGAAGGGCAGTCTGGCCACAGAGGGTCACCAGCTTGGTAGGTCAAGCTTAGCACCGGCCACTGGTAGCGAAAAGGTGGCTTGACTCAAAAGTCAGAAAGGTGTGTCAGCGTGTGGAAAGATTGGAGCATCCTGTGGGCTGAAGTCACTGAAAAGCTGGCTGGAGATAAAGGTAACCCATCACCTGTCCCGGTTAGCCAGTATTCAGGGAAGACACTGAAAGCACAACTGTTGTGATGAAGGACTGCTCTGGTAAACGGAGCTGGAGAATGTATTTTGTGGGCACTTCTTTGGGTTTTTTTTCCTTTTGGCAAAAGCAGGGAAAGGGCCATTAATTTATTTCTAAAAGTTTCATAGTGCAAATACCAGGAGAGAAGATCCATTTAAGCTTCAAAACAAAGCTGACAAGAAAAAATCTGGATGTTAACAGCCATGGATAATGTGAAGTCTTGGTACTAGCTGAAGGCTTTTGGCATACTGGACAGGTGAGTTTCCTGCAGTGCCTCCCTGTAGGTTGTGACGGAAGCAAAAGGCCAGAACAAATTTTAACAATGTGTGCTAGATACAATACCAGAATTACAAGGGAAATTGCAAAAAAACTGGTTTTACAGCACTTTTCAATCCCCCTACCCCCAGCCAGACAGCTGTACACGCATAGTTTTGTCTGAGCTAAGCAGGAAGAGGTCTAATACAATTTAAAAAACAAAACCAATAACAAAAAGCAGTGTTCAAATGCTGCATTCAAAACTTTTAAAAGTACAGCTTTTATTTCTGGAAGAGTGAGCGGAAATTCCTGCCCTAATGAAAAAAAACCCAACCAAACAAAACCCACCCCTGAATGTTACCAGCAGAACACAATTCTTCCAAACTGCAGAGCTTCTTGGCTATGACAGGTAGCATAACATGGAGGAGTATATAATATAAAATGTTGTTCCAACTGCGTAAAGAACAGAACCAAGCCTGTAACAAGCTGTGAGGCAGGGGGGAAGAAACTGTATGCCCATTCCACAGTATCTTTTTTTCCTGGACTGGCATCACAGTATTGTTCAGCTCTGAATTAAAAGTATATTGGAGGGAAATAATTTTATCTGCAAGTT